GGCACTAACAAAAGTGCAATGGAGAAGAAAAAAGAAGGGTCTCGAGTATTTTACGGTAGCAGAGCTTTCTTTTAATGATACCAAAAACTCATTGCAAATAAGTTTTTTAATAACATTTTAGCTTCTTTGGTTATTCGATCTCTCTATGTTTTTTATTCACATATATGACCAGTTTTAAAAGTTTTAGTGATTTACTATTTTACTCCACGGGCACGGGATTCACTTATTTGGATATAAATTTTGATTTTAAAATTTTGATCAAGACAAATTGCCTTTTATTTACCTTTTATCAAAAAAAAAAGAAGACAAATTGCCTAATAGTTTGTGTGAAGACCCCATGTGATATTCGGATTGCCTAATAGATTGGTATGCGATCTTTCGGAGTACTTGAAGGGGTTTTGTGGAAGACCCCATGTGGAAAAAAACTATAGTCGCTCAAGTTATAATTGCAATCTCTCTCTCTTCATCAATAATCGTCAATAAGCGGTGGCCGCTTCTTCCTCAATTTCGCAATTATGTTGTTCTTAACTCGTTGTCATAGATCGTAATCATCAATCATGAATTAAGATGGTATTCGATGGAGATCAACATAGTTGACTATAATCGAAAATCAGAATAAGTATTTATGATTCGAAAATAGTTAACTACTTAGCTGTCTATGGTTCGAAAATAGTTAATTATTTAATTTGCTGGCTATGGTTAAAAAAATAGCGAACTATGGAGCAACATCACTATAATCACTATTGTTACAAAATAGTTAACTACTTGCTGCCTATGGTTCGAAAATAGTTAACAGTTAACTATTTACTGGTAATGGTTCAAAAATAGTTAACTATTTACAGCCATGGTTCGAAAATAATAAACTATGAAGCGACATCACTATGGTTCTAAACTGATTAACTACTTGCTACCTATGGTTCGAAAATAGAGAACTATTTACTGGCCGGGGTCCAAAAATAGTAAACTATGAAGCGACATCACTATGATTATAAAATAGTTAACTATTTGCTCGTTCGGTAGTTACAATATCATGTTGAGTTACAACATCTGGTAGTAAACACCTATAATTGATGAACAAGATATGTAGTGTATTAAAGTATAGAGATTTTTTTCCTAATACTTTCCTTATCCGATTATTCTTTTATTTATTTTCTTTTAAATTTTTTTGCAAATTTAATAGGAAAATTTCGTCCGAAATTCTTACATCTTTGTTAGTCACCTAATTTCTTTCAACCCTACGTTACTCTTTTAATTATGTTCCTCAAAAGTAATATTAAAACAAATTGTGACGTATGAGGGAAATATTGATAGTGGAATGAAAATCCATGATTTGTAACTAGATTTTCAAAGTCAAAATTACAGTTAAGTTTTGAAAAATATTTATCTATGAAGCCAAATAAAAAGAAACAAAAGAATATTATGAAAAGATCGTCATTACATTTTTGGGCTGTATATTTTCTTTTGAAGTGAAACATTTTGGCAACTCAAAACATTGTGGAAAATATTGATAGTGGAATGGAACATGAAAATATATTTTTATGTTAAGCCAAATAAAAAGAAATAAAAGAATATTATGAAAAGATCGTCATTACAATTTTGGGCCGTATATTTTTTTTAAGTGAAACATGTTGGCAACTAAACATTGTGGGAAATTTTTCTTTAAAAAAAAAACATGGTGGGAAATATTGATAGTGGAATGGAAAATCCATGATTTGTAACTAGATTTTCAAAGTTAAAATTACAGTTAAATTTTGAAAATATATTTATTCTGTTAAGCCAAATAAAAAGAAACAAAAGAATATTATGAATAGATTGTCATTACAATTTTGGGCCGTATATTCTTTTTTGGAGTGAAACATGTTAGCAACTCAAAACATTGTGTGGTGTGGTCCAGTCATATGCATTTCTGCCACAGAAATTAAAACTGATAATGCCACATGCATAAGAACAGTCTAAATTTTGGATTTTGCAGATTTCATTCCTAATTTACAATTAACAAAATTTTTGGCCTAGAATCATAGTCTCCCGTTCCGAAACCATCCGTTGATGATATTATTTGGACGTAGATCATCTCTCCTAATCATACATAAAAACTAGACATGTAAATTAAACATCTTTTTAAAAGACCAAACCAACATTAATATACTAGCAAATCAGGACAACAAGTAAATGAGTAGAAAAAAATAAAATAAACACAGAGAAATAAGATAGACAATTAGGACAACAAGCAAATGAATAAAAAGACAGAACTAATAGAGACAAAGTAGGGTGAGTGACATCATGAATTCTAGGCATGGTCGGGTGAGCATAGATGATAGAACAACTGACATATTTCAGGAGAAAAACATCAAAAGCAGTTTTAAATCCTTTGATTCTCATAATCAGCTGGTCAATCACAGATAAATTGCGAGCACAAACTGCAATTAGTTATCAAATTTCTCAACGATCTCTATGTAAGAAACTCAAAATACTGCTTTAAGCTTTGTAAAAAGGTTCTTTATTAATCCATTTTCTTTGTGTATTACAACCGTAGCTCTAGAGTATTTATACATCCAATTAAGCTTAGGGTTTCTCTCGTTACCTCTGACACTTGTCAGCATCTTGATCATAGTCTTCTAAAGGACCAAATCTGTTGAAAGTCTTGATTTGACCCTCCGTACGATGATCTGGCGAAGTCACCTTCCTCGCAGCTTCCTCTGCAACGGCATTGTGAGCTGGTGAAGAAGATAACTCTTCTGTCTTCTTTGGTTCAGATGATAGCTAATCTTCGTGGACTTGTGTTGTGTTTTAAGGCCCACCAGCTTAACTCCATCTGACCCATTACCTTTAGGCAAATACTCTGTTTGATTCATAGGCTTTATCTTAAGACT